AAGGTGCCAGTTACTGTAGCATTCGTCAACTTTGCATAATCGATGGTCGAATTATGCCTTTAAAGGCTACTGAAGTAGATATCAGATTTCATGTACTCATGCACTGATTATATATAGTGTTAGCATTCTCAATAATCCACTGTAGTAAAGTTATACCTACATATTTAAACATTAATTTAGAGCTATTCTGTCAGGCCACGCACATAAACATCAGTCTTTTTTGTCTGTGACAAAAGTTGATTTGCCGATCTTTTATATATTTGTACATATATCTTGTAAAACACCTCGTTAGATTGTACCCACAATAAACCATTAATCACCATTGATACAGCAGATAGTTACCATATTGTGCTTGTAAACGGTTTCAAAATAAAGTAATAAATTTCATATTTCGGATGAGAGTTGAGATGAGATGCTATCTGCAATATGAAATGTTTTTATTAAAGCTATGTTACTGCTACATCATTAACATGTTTTCTCACATGCTGTGTGGCTGCACACTTTCAGGAATGTAGATTTTAGTCTTAAATCAAAATGCTAGAAAATGCCTTATTTTAATTTGACCTAAATAAACTGCATGCTGAATGTATTGAAATTACACACCAACAACAACACTGAACTTCTTGCCTGTGACTTTAATATAAATTTATCTTTTGTTATTTCAATCTATAGTTGTTCTTGAAATGGTACAAAATTCGTTGAAATCATAGAAGAACGTACCTTACTACGTATTGAAAAATAATTATTCATTCAGCCATATTGGTTGAAAGGTCGTCATTGAATGTGAATTTTGAAAAACGTACTGATTATCAGTGGTATTGGTGTATTTGTAATCTATGTGACTTGATAAAGATGCATAGAGAATAACACATTCATGGTGTGACTCATGGCAGTGGTTTTCGCCCATATTGATTGTGATATCAAACAGCAATATATACCAGTGTTACTAGTTACATAGTGTATCCGTAGACAGTCTCTGCCCGCGAATCAATGATTAGACTGCGCCCAATCTCTTTGTCAGTGTTTGACGTTATTATTGCAAGTGCGAGTTGGTTTCCGTCTATATCAGCTGATAGCTAGTCAATGCAGCCCATGTTTAATATTGCACTATAAGATGGTTTTAGGCGGTTATTTTTCATTTTCAACATCCAATAGTGAGTACAAAGCAATCATAATAGAGGTAGAAATATCCAGACAGTCATGGTATTCTTAGTATGTAGTGTGTGGGTGCTGGTATCGCCCTCACCCTACCCACATGTACATATACAGACTTGCCTACAGTGTGCAATAGCTCAGTTTGGCATTCTGGTAACCTTGCCACACAGCTACTAGTACTGCAGCCAGGCATTCACGCGTGAGTAGTGTTTACCATGTGGATCAGAACCCATATGTTTGTGAACATTGGTGAATCTAATGCATTATAGTAACCGTTTCTGATGTTGTGTATAAATGAACGGCAGAAGGAAGAAGACGTGGTTTGTATTTTGTAAATTATGTGTGCGTCTAAAGCGAATAAACATGTTTATGGCGTAGTACCATGAGTACAGTTACTATTACCATTAATGACATAATTTTGTGATCATAGTACTCCTGCTGAAATGCAATGTATACCGAGCACGTGTGCCTGGTTTGTAGATCAGGTCAGCCTTGCAGTGGCATGTAGCCTACAGTAGACCTCGTGCCTGTAAGCATTCCCAATTATTACCTACAAATGTGGTACAGCTGGTTAGCACTTATCATCGGCTATGCATAATTACCATGAAAATGCCCCGTGTATGAATGCTAACGTTTCATACTGTGTACATAATGAATTGTTAAAGGTTTGACTTGTCATGCACGACCCATCTGACTAGATTTGGGCCAGTTTGGCCTTGCATATGCTCAGCCCAAGCTGTTCATACAATATGACTGAATGACCGTTCATGGTCGTTCTCTGTCCACTCTTTTTTTGCCGAGATGCGTGGGGAATACGCGATCTGGTTTCAACTCACTCTTTGCTCAGCTGAACGGTGAGGGTGTGAGGGGTGAAGGTGTAAGAGGGAGGCCTGCAATCACACGATGCTGAACATCCATTCTGTAGCCAGGTGACTGTGCTATTTATAGCATATTGTGTAAAAAGCGGAGCCAGTGTGAATTCTCAACTGGGCGAGAGAGATTCTTTTCCACAGTATGGTATTATTGATCACAGCTACGTGCAAATTACGGGGACATCTGAGAGTTTGCTGCGACGATACATGTTGCGCGTGTATCGGCTATTCATTCCAGTATATGAGGTCTGCTCATTAAATCAGTAGGCGGCAGTCTGTGAGATTCCTGGGTGAAACATGAATGGCCTGAATTGTGGTCTTATCTCCATGGCAAGGGCACTATATTTACTGATATTAGTCAGACCTTGCTATATATGAACTATGAAGGGTGAATGGGTGGATTTAAATAGATTTGTTATTGTGGGTGGTTGTTGCATGTTGTTACAGAGTTCGGGAGCATTGCTCACATGAATTTCACATGCCCAGCATTTAGTGACATTAATGTTTACACTGAGTCATTTTTGCTTATTATGAAGTCATTACGATCATGAATAATATAATTGCACATGGGCATCATGTTGTTCAATGGTCGCTGTACAGGCCCTTCAGGAGTTTCATTTCCTGGCTTTTAATTGGATTTACAGCTAGTAATAATATTTTTAGTTAAGAGGAGAACATCTCTCTTATTTGTAGCATTTTTTTCCAGTTGAATTTGGTTTTATTATTGCTGCATACAAATCTGGACTGCTATTTCGTAACGGTCACGGTAACGGTCATTTTTTGAAAACGGTCAGCAAAATTGCTATGGTGTCATATGAGTGAATAGCTGGGGTACCCAGCTTTGCTCGGGGGAAAAATAATAGGAACAATTTCTAAATAAATTCTGACATGTTTACATAATTCTATGGATAGAGTCATATAAGAGAGAAACAAAATATATGAAAGGCCAAAGGGGTATTAACACAATATTCTGGCAAGAACATTATTCACATTTGTCATTATTCCCTCCTGATAGCATTAACTTGTTTGCGCTTCCCCAACAAGTTTTACGAGTATAAATTGTGTTATTATTACTGAAAGGCGTTTCACAGCACAAAGAACTGCATCGTAATCATCCAAAGAATGAGATTGGTATTGTGTTCACATCATACATGCGATTATTGCAAACAAATATCATATTATAAAACATAAAAACATCCATATTTAGTTTGAAACTGGAAGTAAAATCATACTCAATGGTTAGATATACAGTGACTCAACTATTAATCATTTTAAGGAGTGCCAGGTGAATGATGAAAGGTCATGCTTCATCAATAAGAAAAGAAAAAAGTTTATTTGGTAGGAGTGTATATGCATGGGGAGTCCTAAAGAAAAGCAGCAGTTTTGGCCGAGGGTTAGATTTCTAGGGTCAAATAAGTGGTACTATAGGTATTCTATAGATACTATGTAATTGATAGGCCAATCAAGAAGAGGTATAAACATTTATTTATTTGTTTCGACTGTTCACTAAATACAGGGCATTCACTATAGAGCCTAAATGATTCATAATTAAAGATATCAGCTAAGGCCAAAACAAAATATAGGTGTGGTTACCGTTTCCCGACCGACCCTATTTGGGGGGGAAAAAAATGAATTGGACAGTTCCTGCTTCAAAAGGCACAACGCACATCCTTCGGGCATGGTTCGTAAATAAAATGTTTTTCCTACCTACCTACCCTATTTTTTTCCGGCATGAAACGGTAACCACACCTATATTTTGTTGTGGCCTAAAGCTAATAACATTTAACAGTAAAGGTACAGGGTGAAGTGTCATTGTTTGCTGCCTTTTCGGAGTGTGGGATGTTGGGCCATGGAAAAATGGGGGTTTATTATTTTATTTAAATTAGCATGAACACACTTCCCTGTATATATATATATATATATATATATATATATATATATATATATATACAGTAATTCAAACATCTGTGTTGTTAGCTTCTTTTGATAAAAATTAGACTCAGGTGCCTTGAAACAATGAAAACTTTTTTTGTAGCTGCTATTTTTTGTATGCTTGCAGGTGTTACAGATATGCAGTTAGACTTAAAGCAGCCAGAGGACTGGTTTACTGAATTTGGAATGCTGGTGCTGGAAGGTCGAGTCCCATGCAATAATGCTCAGGGCCACAGCCGGGGACCGCATTGCCCATCAATGGACGGATCACCAGTGGAATGGGTACATGACAATTGCAGTACTCACGACAAGCTGGTAACTATAAATATGTACATTTAGTGTATGTACGTAAATGGCAATTTTTGCAAAGAGGTCCATATTAGATGTCCCATGTATATTTAATTGCCTGTGTAATCATTTCTTACCTTGTTATCTGTTTTCTTGAAACTTAGTGGTACAAGGTTTCTATATTTGACACTTAGCTTCAGGCCACTGCACCATGCAAGGAGACAAAATGTTGCATCACTTTGCTGTACAGGACTTGCAGCAGCATACATCATGTATCTAGACAACTAACGTCAAACTTAGCTAAAGGGCATGTGAACAATGCCTGAAATATTGTCTAAAAATTAATTATAAGCTAATAATGAACTAATTAAGAAAGCTAGTTTAGCATCTTAAGATTTTGTAATACACCCACCAACCTAATGTCGTCATCTTTCTGTTTTCAATTGCATCACGGTTATTGATACATGGTTATTGACATGCTTCAAGCCATACAAAATTACTTCACTTACAGACTTAGGAAGTAAAGCACCAAATACAGCAGGAAAATAATATGTAAATAAGTATGGAATGAAAGTTTGTAGTCCTACAGCTAAAATATTAAGCTGAACCCAGTTGCACAAACGTTGGATAAGCCTTATGTGACTGATATTGATAACTTCTTCCTACTCAGAGTCCAGATGTTCACAGCCACAAAAAATTAAAGGCCCCTAAGTCAACCTTTCGAAAATAGAACCATATGCTCATTTCAGATGTGGAAAAAATGGGGAATGCTTCCAAAAACGTACTAACTACCAATCATGTCCAAGTGGTGTTCATTGTTTGACACCCATTGTGTTATAATGGGATGGAGTTTACATTAGCAGAAGGTTATTTAAAAATTAAAGTTCCACAACCTTGTCAGCTGTTATAAGTGACAGTAATAATTATTATATCAAATCACTATCTTATGCTAATATTACTCGTCAGTAGATAGATCAACGTGCATTTGGGCATATAGTGTATTACACCATTGTAGCATTAAACTAGGATGACTTTGTGCCTCCAGTGCAAGAGAGCAGCTCAGTGGAAGCAGCAAATGATGCAAATGTTCCACAACGACCTACCCATGATGCTCGAGGTATTGGTGTATCCCAACTGCACTCATGGTGATGATCAGGTCTTTGCGACCTCAGCGACCAGCGGTCCTCCGGGAGCCAAGGGCTTCCTGCTGGAACAATGGACTATTCAGATTCTGCCAAAAAGGTGAGTCTGGATTTGTTTGATGACAGCACCTGTGAACCTGTCCGCTGCACACTGCATTTTGCGTGCCTTTTTCTTTGTTTATTTTATTGGATAGTCCATTGTTAAACTTCGCAAAGGCAGAGGCTCTATTATTAACATTCGGTAGCACTTTTCTCTCAAGGAATTTTCCTTCTAAGTTTCGCTGAGAGGGTCTATGTCCCCCGGGGTACTGCCGGAACGTACCCTGGTACTATCTAATATGCCGGACCGTACCTCGCCTACTCCACTAACGAGTCTAGTGAGTCGCCTACGCCTACTCCCTAACCCTAATCCTAACCCTAACCATATCAAATTGTGACCAGGGTACGTTCCGGCAGTACCCTGGGGGACATAGACCCTATGAGCGAAACTTAGAAGGAAAATTCCTTGACAGAAAAGTGCTACCGAATGTTAATTATAGAGCCTCTGCCTTTGTGAAGTTTCTCTGTTCTAATGTATTTTAAACTTGTTCAGTGCCAGAATACAATAATAATCTAAAGTAAGTACGTTTTAAAACCCTCACATGCTTGTTTCCGAACTGTTATAATTCATGCTAGACTAAATACTTCTATTTCAAGCTATTTAAAGGCTTCCCACTGTGTTATATTGCTATGATCTCCCTCATTATGTCAAGTTAGAACTGCAGTGGAACAGCATGAATACTTCTAGTTCGCTTTAACTAGAACACAGTTTTCAGCATCTCACATTTTACTAGGCAGACACGTGTGATAAATTGTGTGAAGTGTTGTTTTTGGTTATTATTATTGTCTTGTATTGTAAATGGCTTAATTTTATTGATAAAATCTTTCATGGTACAGAATTGCAACAGGCAGTCTACTCTATAAGAGATATTACGGTGACATTCAGAGATTTCTCATAAATTGTTTTGCCCCATCTTTAGGCTATACAAAAGTGAAACTAAAAGCACACGAGCATGTTTTTATATGCTACAGAACAAAGCTAACACAATAAATGAATATAGAATGAACAGTTTTAAAATTACTGAAAAGTGTCATTCACGTTTAATCAAAATTTACTCATCATGTAGTCAAAATGAGCAAAATGTGTATTAGTTGTATTTACGTGGCTGATACAGCATGTAATATCACAGTGTGTGTGCGTGTGTGCGTGCGTGTGTGCGTGCATACATGTGTGCGCGCGTGTGTGGTACTTGTGTGTGCTTCTGGACATTCACAATTCTGTATGATACTTTTTGCTTCTTCTTGTGGGTCAGAGGAGCAGTACTATGTTATAGCCAATTTAGTACGTTGATTTTTGTGGAATGCTGCCTTGTTTTACAATTATATGTTCACCATCTACAGTCAAAACCATTGCCCTGGAGTCTCCGATTACATTGTCCCTGTTACTATCAGGATTCAGGAAGTTTGTCGTAATAGTAACATTATACACAGTCGGCTGGTGGTGCAAAATAGATGTGTCTTCTCTGTTTCTGCACGTGGCCTCGTATATATATATATATGTATTCAGCAGCCTGAGTCATTCATCATTCCAGCCATATCCGGACATACAGCTAAAGTATCCAACGTACTTCACGCGCCCTTATTTTATGGTTTACATAATCGAATTGGAGGTTTACATAACATTGTAAACATGGTAAAATTGAGTAACAAATAAGCACATTAATTAGTTCTTATTTCAGTTGACGCTATAAGGTAGTAAGCATATATATATAAGTGCTATGAAACAGTATTGTAGTTTAAAATCAGTATTTGTTGGTATTTTTTATTTAATTTTACATTATTATTACGAAACCAACTAATCCATCACTCTAATATGAGATCATATTAGTAGGCCTCATAATATTTTAATGGTATAAATATTTGGATTTTATAAGGAAATGTGTCCTTTTATGTGCAATTATGGCAACTAAGAGATGAGCTTCGTTTCCAAGTAACATGAGTCATTTAAGTCATATGTCTATATATACCATAATAATATATATATAGAACCTGTATGCTTACATATATAATTATAGCATTGTAATGATTAGCTATAGTATCCATTCTCAGGAACAAAATATCCTACAGAAAAGAAAACATTAAGTTATAAGAAAAATCAACAAACCATTGGCAGCAAATAACTGGAGTTATACTATGTAAGTGTGGAGTTCACACACCTAGCAAGGTGTGTTTCAAAAATAGATTAACTAGTGCAAAAATACAGAGGAAAAGAGGCCACACTGGCTCTAGATGTTGTGTGAGTAACCATGCAATCGCCCAGCATTGGACGTGTGAAAATATTGATGAAAAGCCAGCCGTTATTCTCGTTACTAAAAAGCATCTGTGCAAAATTTGCTTAGTAGGAGCGTGCATCCTTGTTAAATGCAAAAAACCTTAATTAGTTTCTGTGCATATCCGTGTTTCAGGGATTTTGGAAATCCAATAAGTACGTACATGCTGATGCAGGCAGTGAGGTCGTACCTACACTTCTCGCAGTTGAGCGCATGGTGGAACCTTACGCACGGAACAAGTCCCTGCAAAGTCGGCTACAGGTATTAAGCCCAGGAGAGTAATTAGCAACTTAATTACCTCCCTACCTAGCTACCTACTACCAGCTTAGATAATAGTGTTTATTTTAGATTTCGTGACCATACTGTCGTCACACCATATTTCATCCTTAGATCGAAACGTGAGATTCGTAGTTCTTTTAGTCGTGTATAGGGGATACGCTCGACGGTGCATGCTATCGGGGCGACATTGTCATAACAACGCGCGTATCTCACCTACGCTCGTGCGCTCATCGCAGACTCTTGGTCGTGTATAGGGGATACGCTCGGTGGTGCATGCTGTCGGGGCGACATTGTCATAACAACGCGCGTATCTCACCTACGCTCGTGCGCTCATCGCAGACTCTTGGTCGTGTATAGGGGATACGCTCGGTGGTGCATGATATCGGGGTGACATTGTCATAACAACGCGCGCATCTCACGTACGCTCGTGCGCTCGTCGCAGACTCTTGGTCGTGTATAGGGGATACGCTCGGTGGTGCATGATATCGGGGTGACATTGTCATAACAACGCGCGCATCTCACGTACGCTCGTTGCTCGTCGCAGACTCTGTGTGCCGGGGGAAGCTGTGTGCAGCGTGTTCGACGGGCCCGCCGACCAGCACGTCTTCCCGTCGCCCAGCATCTGCAAGACATCGGCGATGAAGATCTCC